TACCCAGATGTGGTCCACAGCCTGAATGCTTAGGAATAAGGATAATAAGTGAAAAACAACCACCAAGAGGGATTGTTCTCTGACTGCCTATTTCAGCATAGAAAGGAACTGACCTGATAAGACTTTGCTGGGGGCTGAGAGGAGGGTGCAGATGGGGGTCAAGGCCATCTCCCATACTCTCCGGCAGCAGCACCAGTGAAGATCCAGATCTGGCTTCACTTGATGGCGGCAGCAGCAGCAGCTGGCGCCCTTGACAGAGGACACAGTGGCATCACAGGACATCCCTGACTTTCGGAGTGACAACAGCTTCATCAGCAGGAGTAGCCAGGCTACATGGAGATATCTGATGTCATGCATCCCCAGTAGGGGTAGAAAGAAACCAACATATTGCAGTGGAGGCCTTGGGTATCAGGGAGGTTGAAGGGACTTGTTTCAGAGTATGTGTGACTGGGGGCACCCAGAATTCACGGGAGAGGCAGGAGTGAGTCTCTGAACAAGGCTAGAAGGTCCAGTGTTTTATAGGAGGTATTACAGAGAAACAATGTTTTGTACTTTAAGGTTAACCCAATTTTTACCCCCAGGTGTGGTCTGAGGATAAATGTCTTAACATGCTACATGGATGATGTTGGTTAAGTGATTACTCTTTCCAGGAACAGTTTGCATTTTAAGAGGGACTTCTTGGAGACAATACCTTAACCTTTGTATATCAACACTTCCCCCAACTGTTTAGTGAAGTTGTGGGCTAATGTATCTCCATTTGGGCTCAATACTCTACTTGTCCAGTTTTTCCAAGGCTGAAGGCCCCTGCATACGATGAGATGGCTCTAGGTTAGGAAAAGATAATATTTGAAGTATTTAAAGTTAAGTTTCCAGTCCCTGAGCCCCTAACCCCAGACTCTTCTTTCCACTTCACAATGAAAACATTTTCATTTGGTCCTACAAAGCATTATAATGAAAAAATGCTATTAAAATAATGCTATTAGGAAGGTATAAAAAGTTACCTGCAGCCATTTAATTCTAACCTTAGAAAAATAGAGATGATAAATGTCAGTCTTCGGCCTGATGTTTTTTAACATTCTCATTATTAATGTACGTATGTACATAATGTAATATGATTAGTAGAGATGTGTCCAGTTTCACCAAATATGGAAATAAAAAAGTGACTTCAGCAAACATCTTACACATCCACACTATGTGATTAGACGCCAGCAGCAGTTTTAAGAGGATATCCTAAGTGTCCAATAAACACTTAGAATGACAGAAATGGAAGGTTCTTCAAAGGTCCTCCAAATCACACAAACCAGTTTAAAGAAAAAAACTGAGGCCTAGGTAGGCAATACCTTTTGTTCCACGGCCAAGCTTGATCTAGAACCTATGTCTCTCCACTACTCAAAGTGAATTCCTTCCCTTCTAGATAAGGCTCTGGAGATTAACGGGATGCCTGTCCCCCATTTTAGCCAGAATCTCGGTTCCAGGGCAGCGGTCAATCTCCATTTTTACCCTCCAAACATTGTGGTCTCTCCAAACAACCACGCCCAAACCTGCAGCATAAATGTAGCATCACGTAAAGCGGTGTCCCACTATACACTCTCCGTTATCACATTATTCCCGGAAACACCTAACCCAGCTCAAAATCCATCCTATCTGCTGTGGTCTGAAATGTTACAGCACAACCCACTCCCTGCATCCTTGCCTATAACATGCACACATAAGTACACATATGCAAACATGCACACAAAATATGCTATCTTTTCATTAAGTGAGGACGCAAATCACACAATCATTAAGGAAACTGACCTTGCTCAATAGTGCCCAGGATGACAAGGAGTCTGTAAAGATAAAGAATGAATTCCCTCTGTTCCCTATGGGACACGTAACCACAGCTTAAGCAGCTCTCTTTGAACAGCTGGACATCTGGATGTCATTTGAGATGGGAGCCATAACTGCCCTTTGGTATTAATATCTTTTTTTTTTAATTGTTGCTAAAGCCATGAGGAGGAACCAATCATGAACTCATTCTCCTTCTGACATTGCTTACAGTCAGCCAAGAATAAATTTTCTGCCTTCTCTGAACCTGCAAGCAGTTAGAGAAGCAAATATATCACATTCTCAGACCCAGGAATAGCTGAAGACAAAGGCCATTTTAAATGGCAGCCCTCAGTTTAAGAAGAACCGTTAAACCGATCCAGTCAGAGACCTCAGAACTGCCAGGATGTGAAGTCAAGGTCCTTCTGTTATCCATGTGGTGAAAAATCAGTTTCTAATTCCCTTCTGTGACTGAATTCTTGCGAACAGATGTTACACCAAGATGACTGTGCTTGCAGTGTAGAAAGAAAGGAAAATATCAGAGGAAGCTGATACATTAACTGGACAACTCAGGCTAAATGACATGGATCATATTTCACTACATTTATTCTTTCTGTAAAGTGTGATAAATCTTGAGATTCAGAACCCCAAAAGGGCAAAAGACTATGTCCAAGTTTGAGAAGGCATGCAGTACGTCTTGTATACAGAGGAATGTCAGTCATCATCTGTGTATATTCTGATCACAGCCCTTGCTATTCATTCTTCTGTTAACCTCCACCTGCCCATCAGATTTCTCATTTACAACCTCATCTCCTTCCGAAAACCAGTGATGACATGGCCATAAACCAGGAAGATCCAGCCCTTTGAAACCTCTGCACCTATTCCAGAGAGCAATACACCTGCCCAACTCTTCCTGTCCTCACTGATGGGACCTGAGGATCCATTTCTGAAACCACTGAGTCAGAGGCATCCAAAGGAGTCGATGCATAACCATACAATTAGCATGTGCAAAGGAACAAGACACTAGGAATTGAAAAAAACTTAATACCCAAGTCCAATTCCAGATCGACTCCGTTAGAAATCTCTGAGTGTGCAGTTCAGGCATAGAAATTTTAAAAAAGTCTCTCCAGGTGATTTTAAAGCACGGACAGGATTGAGAACCACGGGCTTAGCACAATACAGAACCCTGGGGACTGTGGCCACGTAGGTAATATTATACTGTTCCAAAGTCAATGATCTTTCAGGCAAAGATTATCGAGGTAGAACTGTAAAATACTTCAAACAGCATGAAACGTGGTGTGGCAATTTTAAAATATGGCCCCAAATTCTTTGTCACTTCTCCCATTGAGAAGTAGGGTATATGTCCTCACCTCTTAAATATGAATGGATCTTTGACTGCTTCGTTTTAAAAAGTACAGCAGAATTGATGCTATCTTAGTTCTGAGGTTACATCACAAAAGTGCGCAAAGTAAAATTTCCACTTTGTGGGCTAGGAGACTCTTTTTGGAGCCCTGAGACACCATGTATGTCCAACCAACTTGAATCACCACGCTGTGAGGAAAATCAAGTCGCGTGAAGAAGGCACATTTTCTCGATGTCTGACCTGAGCTCCCAGCCACCATCAGCTTCAACTGAGAAACTGACAGATTATTTACAAATTCTGGGACTTGAAAACATCAGTATAAATAAGTGGTACAATATAAATGGAGTACTGTCTCTGAATTTGCCCAACAAACATGCATTTTCTAGTGTTTGTTTGGTTTTGTTTTTTTTGCGGTACGCGGGCCTGTCACTGCTGTGGCCTCTCCCGTTGCGGAGCACAGGCTCCGGACGCGCAGGCTCAGCGGCCATGGCTCACGGGCCCAGCCGCTCCGCGGCATGTGGGCTCCCCCCGGACCGGGGCACGAACCCGTGTCCCCTGCATCGACAGGCGGACTCTCAACCACTGCGCCACCAGGGAAGCCCACATTTTCCAGTTTTCCTCCAAATCTAAGATCACTCTTGCTTTAAGCAATCAATGAAATTACAAGTGTTTGAGGCTCCATATTGTTTTTCGTGTTTTGAATAGATAGAGGCTACATTTTAATTGAAATAGATGGAAAAAATACTCTGAAAATGCTAGGAAAAGGTCTGTAACATAAAACTGCCTAACTTCAAAGAAACAACCAATATTATTTTGAAATATTAGAGAAATGAATGGACTTTAATCATTGAAATGGTGATCTAGAAGGCTGAATGGGGGTCCCCAAAAAAGGCACATCCATGTCCTAATCCCTGGAACTGGTGAATGTTACCTTATTTGGAAAGGTCTTTACAGACGTAATTAAGGCTCTTGAGATGAGATCATTCTAGGTTGTATAGATGGGACCTAGATCCAATGACAGGTATCCTTTCAAGTGGCACAGAGGAGAGATTTAAGACCCACCAAGAGGAGGCAATGTGACCACCAAGGCAGAGATCTGAGTGAGACAGCCATACATTCGTCAGGACTGCTTACAGCCACCAGAAGCTGGAGGAGACGAGGAAAAGATTCTCTTCCAGCGCACCAGAGGGAGTGTGGCCCTGCCAACATCTTGATTTCAGACTTCTGGCCTCCAGAATTGTGAGAGAATAAATTTCTGGCTTACCAACCAGTCTGTGGTAATTAGTTACAATAGCCACAGGAAATCAATACAGTTGGGAAAAAAAAATCTTCATCTAATTTTCTGCTTCTACACAAGTGCAAAATTTAATAAATTGCAATTTTATTCTTTATAGTTGTCTCCTTATGCTTCTACTTACAAGACAGATTTCAGCTTAAAATATCATTTCTATTATAAAAGTGTCAAATTTTTATAACTATTGTTATTTTTCTTTAAGTTTAATATTTCCCATGCTTTTTTGGGGGGGCTTTTTAATGTATGATCTAGCAGTGATTTTTAGGCTGTATTTATCAGCAACCTAAATAGAGTACAAAGTGAAGCACTTGACTGAGCATTCTGAATTGTGCAGAAAGTTTGTTTAAGTACGTTTATATGTTTAATATATAAATTCGGGAGGTGAGGGGTGGAAAGTGAAGCACTTGGTACAGAAAGGATAATAAGGAGAATGATATCCTTGCTAGAAAGGATACAGTTTGTAGGGAAATGTCTGCAGACATGCTTTAAAGAAGGCTGGCAAATTCCAATAGTGGAACATCCTACAAAAGAACTTACCAGTCAGTACTCCTCAACATTGTCGAGGTCATCAAAAATGAGGAAAGTATGAGAAATTGTCACAGCCAAGAGGAGCCTATGGAGACATGAAGACTAAATGTAATGCTGTATCCTGGAACAGAAAAAAGGACATTGGATAAAAATTACGGAAATCTGAATAATGACTTTCGTTAAGAATAATATAGCAATATCGGTTCATTTAACAAACGCACTACACAGTAAAGATGTTCATGAATAGGTGAAACTGGGTGCCAGATATGCGGGAACTCCCTGTGCTATCGTCTCAATTTTTCTGTAAATTTAAAGCTGTTCTTAATGTCTATTAAAACACACACACACACACACACACACACACAAACGGCTGTCTCTATCAACATTCCTATTTTAAGTAAGAAACTAAGGTTGAGGGAAGTGAAACATTTCATACAAATCAGCAATGTTGAGGAAATTTTCTCGACTTTCCCAGAATGCTAGTCCATACTGCAGAGAGTTATTTAATAAGGCTAATTATTGGCGATGATCTGAAAAGGTAACACCACCAATAAACTTTTCTGGACTTGCAAAGAAAAAACAGCTGGTTCTGCTGGCAGTCGAGTTTCCACAGCTAACTGGCGTGCCATCTGCTCGCAGCATAGAGTGGTAACCATGGTTCACGTGCCACACCAGCGTTCGTGTTAAGAAGTTTGCCCCAACAAGCCTGGACAACTTCGCTTCCGCGCAGGTTGCTGGGGGGAGGGGTGGCGGCGGCAGCATCCAGAGCATGTATATCGTTTTTCCACACTCCATCTGCTCTCCCCTCCTCAGGCTGTGCCCGCGGTCTCCCCGCGCCGCAAGCCGCTGGACGGGCGGGTCTTTTACGCATAACAAAAGAGTCCTCCTCCTCCTCCTCCCGCCGCCCCGCACCGCCCCCACCTTGGCTTCCCGCGGCCGCCCGGGCCCGCGTACCCGGCAAGAATTGGCTCCCGGGCCCGAGGTTTCCAGGTACCCGGAAGGGGGAGGGGGCGAGGCGGCAACAATTCGGCGGGTGAGGTCGAAACGCGCGCCCAGGAGCGCCAAGACTCCGAGGGGCGGCGAGCCCGGGCCGTGCCGCCGCGCGATTGGCCGGCTCAGCCTCGCCGGCCGCCGCTGATTGGTGGATTCTCAAATTCGGTCTCAAGGCGCCAGAGGAGGTGTTTTAGCGGGGACTGCGATCCGGAGCTACAGTCGCGCTCGGCGTGTCGGAGCGCTGGCGCTGCCCGGACGCCGCGGGGTCCCCGCTAGCGCAGGGCACTCGGAGCGGGGAACTGCGCGCCTCGCTTTCCCCGCCCGATGTCGCCGCCCGGCTGCTGATCGACTCGCCCAGCTGATCCCGCGCTGCTGTGGGGTCGTGGAGGTCCCGGTAGAGGCAGGAAGGCTCCTTCGCAAAGGGGGAGTAAGTAGCGTGCGGCCCCGGCGCTGGCGGGGAGGCGGGAATTGGGGTGAAAGGGGACCCTCCCGCCCCGGCTGCCAGCCTGCCACCCTTCCCCTCCCCGGCTGCCGCAGGACCAGGCGTGCGAGGGGTGTCTGGGCTCCAGCTCTCCCTCCGGCCGGGCAGTAGGGAACTTGCCCTTCCTCACGATCTGGGGGTTTCATTGGAAAAGTTTATATTTGGGGTCTGCTCGGAGGCCTGGGAAAGAGCTGCGCTGAGCGCTGAGTGGGTTTGGTCTAGCGATCAGGTTTCCTTCCCCCCTGATTCAAAACCCCTCAAAGCCGAATTCCTCCCCGTTCTTTGCGCCAAAATTAACTGACCTAGGAGACCCTGTGCTTTCTGACAGATTTGCCCTACACTCTCCTGACTTGAAACTTAATTTTGTCCTGTTGCTTTTCATTAAAAAGTATTATTTTTATCGGGGTTTTTTTCTTCCCAATTTCAGTAATTACTAAGCACACTTAAGTGTTTGTGCTCGTTCGTGTGCGTTTCGGAGAGTTGGAGTGGCCACAATCCTGAAAATTCCCAGGATGAGTTTAGGGAGCGGAAGTTCATGTTCATGAGCAAGTAATAGATATTTTTGTTGAAGGAAAGAGTATCCAATTTAAAGTCATTTTCTAATGTAACTGTGCATTACAGATGGAGGTAAACTGTTTAACACTAAAAGACCTGATCAACCCCAGACTAGGTTTTGCAATTGAAGATGGGGAAAATGCCCAAAAGGTAAGTGAACTTAAATACCTTAAGTTCTATCATATTTACGATGGTGATGTCTAATTCAATTCAAGATTCCAAAATGCCACTTGTATTTGTCTTAAAAACATAATAATCTTGATGAACATTTTAGGACTATGCTTTTCTTTTTTCTTCTTTTTTTTTTTTTTAATGGAGGAGGCATCCAACCATTATTGTTGAATTTCTCAGTCATTGTGCAGTGGTTAGATGTAATGTTGAAACTGACTTATATGAATCAAAGATATGCTAGACACTGCAATCAAAGGTTTGTAATAACTGTAGTTACCAAGAGTAGAATTAGCTAATGCTGGGCAGGAATATTAAGCCTCAGTTCCCAGGAAAATAGACTGTTTCACTCTAAATGCTAGATTATTAAAGTGCAGTGAAATGTTCTTCATCCTGATGGACCAGCTCCTAGAGGTGGTTCCATTCTCCCAAGAACATGACCAGTGTCTCCCATATAGGGAGATAAAGTGACTGAGCTCACCAAGGACTCTTTGAATATTTTACAGTGTTACTTCTGGTTTTGCACTGAGCTTTCCCTTGTGGTTTTTGCATGACTTGTGATCTGTAAGACAATAGTAGCGTCTTCAAGAAACATTACAAAGTGAACCTGCCATAGCAATGTCTAAACAGGACCCATGTCAGCACCAATGCCCTCACCAGCCGGTGCCCTACCGAAAAGGTGTAATAGCTTGTTAGTAGCGAACATCTAAGCATTTTTGGGCAGAGGCAAGTAGATATGACAAACCTGGGTTTACAAAGTTTAAATATCAATCTGAGCATAGCAACTTCCATAGGCATTGAACTTCTCTGGTTCCTGGGCTTAATTTTAGGCTTAGCACCCACAATGAAATTGCCTGGTTGCAAAGCACCTGTTATATGGGCCTTTGAAGAATACTTGACAACCGTTAATTTTGGGTAGGTGTGAAACTGTATGCTTTTTCATGTAGGGTTTTTTTTCCCTCTACCATTTGATTTATTTTTGTTAGGAAAAGAAGTATACCAAAACATTATTCTTTTAAAGAGCATTTTTAAAGAATTCGCTATGCCATCTGAGAGTGGCAATGCCCAGACTTTAAAGTATATATTCAGAGTTTTGGCTTTGGGAGTTTCAGAGCAAAACTTTTTGTTTTCCTTTGTAATTTGGATGGGACAGCCTTGAAAGAATGTGTATACTTTTATATAAAGTCAAAGTGTCCACCTCTTTCCTTCTGGGTCAATGACTTTTTATCGTGCCTTCAACAACGTTACTTCTCCTACTCTAGTTAGCCCAGTAAGTGCTGTGCCCAGCTGAGCTTTCATATTTTAGTGGGTGTAGAGAAAACCTCAAATGACGCCATAGAGGTTTGGGAAAGTGGTTAAAATGTTTGAAATAGAATACACGAGCAGGGCTTATTTCACCTGTCAAAGAGACGGCAAAGGAAGAGAACAGAGCGCTCCTGCGAGATGCTAGGCTGGGCTTTTGTCTCTTTTTTCACAGTGCTGTGAAGTAAAGGAAGGAGGATTTCTAGGGCTGCTGAGAACGTGGGATTCGGAGTCAGAGAGATCTGGGTGTGATTTCCTGCTTTACCATTTGTTAGCTTCATAACCTCAAATAAATATATTTATTCAGTCTTTGAACAAATATTTATGTTTCAGGGGCTGGGGGTACAGCGGTTTAATAAGTCTCCTAGCTTCCCTAAGCCTATTTTTTTCTTCCATAAATTGAAATTAATAAGTAGCCTCTCCTCTTTGGGTGTCTGTAAAGCACCCAGCAACCCATACTGTTCACACCTTACTCTTTTTTTTTTTTTTTTTTTGCGGTACGTGGGCCTCTCACTGTTGTGGCCTCTCCCGTTGCGGAGCACAGGCTCCGGACGCGCAGGCTCAGCAGCCATGGCTCACGGGCCCAGCTGCTCCACGGCATGTGGGATCCTCCCGGACCGGGGCATGAACCTGTGTCCCCTGCATCGGCAGGTGGACTCTCAACCACTACGCCACCAGGGAAGCCCCACACCTTACTCATTTGAACTGACAGCCCAAAGATGAATATGATGCAGGCCTGGCCCTCGGTTACCTGAGACACTTTCAGGGACTGAGATGTAAAACTCACCAACTAGACTGTGATTTGGTAAGAGCTATAGGAGTGGGAACCAAGTGCCCCAGCAGAACAGAAGATTAAGAAAGAAATTCATGGGGAGTCTAGGGCAAGTTGGAAAGCTTCACAGAGGTAATATCTGGGCTGAGGACTTCAACTATAAGGAAACAAGAAGGAGTAAGACGGTCATTATAGGCAGACTCTATATGAGTATATGTGCTGTGGACATTCAAGAAATGTTCAAAGTTTCCAGAGTGGCCAGAAGCTAGTGGTACTTCTTGAAACCCTCTGGTGGGTGCCTGGAACAGTATCCTATGGGTCAGTCGGCATTTAGAGGACTTATCTTTCTTGACTGTCTGATCTTCATTGCTCAAGGTCTACAGGTAGGCATCCATCTTCTTACCACTCACGGAGAAACTTTTCTTTAAAACATAGAGGAGTTTTCAACGCCATTACCCAATCTTACTGTGCCCAAGTTGTGAGATTATAAGCAAGACTCTCCTCTTCAGTTGTCTACAGTGCATTTAGGAATGACAAAAGTAGAAAAAGGATGGTTTGGGATGAAGCGGTGGACAACAAGGATTGAGCTGTTGGGAGGGCTTTGTGAAGGAGATAACACTTGAGCTAGGGCTTGAAGGGATGAGTGCTAAGACTTAGGCAAGTAGAGAGGAAGGAAACTAGTAAAGAAGTAAATCAGCATGGTAAATTTGGGGACACGCCTAGACTTAGTGGGCATGGGTTTTCTTTGAAGGTCATTCATCTTTTGGGAGTGGTTAAAAAAGAAGGTGAGTTCAACTTGAAGCATGTATTTGTACCCGTGTGATTACAGGTAAATAAATATGTACAAGAGGCAGTTG